TCTCTTCCGTTTTCCTCGACTGTTGATTCCAGGCGTGTTCGATGTACGCTCGCGTGACAAAATGCTTTCGAAAACACAAAGAACGTTACTCACTTTCGGACGCTACAGCGACCGAAGATGAATAAACATGTTGAGTTTATTAATAAAAATAATTACTTTTGTATCTTATTTCCGTTTATCGCTGTTAGCAAAAGCTATTATTAAAAACGTATAATCTGCAGATGGAATTATTGAGCTTTGAGTATAAAAGAATTATTATATATTAATTCTCTATAGCGTCGAACATGGCGGCGATCAAAACTGTCCGCGACAATAGCCAGACTGAAACGCACGGGCTCGCAATTTGACCGAAAATGAAATCGTGTTCCGTCGCCGGGATATTTCCGAGCATCACGCAAAAATTATTATTATTTTAAAACCGGGAGAACGTTAAATATTGGCGGAAAGTCGCGTTGATTCGCAAATCGTTACAATTTTAATTAGAAACGCAGCGCGCATTAATCAATTAACAGTAAAGAGTGACTCGCGGGGTAGGGGGTGGAGAGTTGGTGGTGGGCGTCGACGAACAACGATAAAGAGAGAGAGAGAGGGAAGGAGAGAAAGAGGGAGAGAGAGATAGAAAGAGAGAGAAAAATAAATAAAAGTAAAATTCGAAGTATGCGGCGAAAAATTGCTGAAATCAGATATATTTATTACCGTGTATTTTCGCGGACGATGGCACGGAATTTTTCCCGGCAAACCCCCCCTCATGCCGCGGCCACGGCCCCGCGCCGTAATTACTCGATACGGTGCGCCGAACGTTTTTCCCTCCAATTAATTAAAATTCAAATTTTACTTTTACATAATTCGTAATATATTGCTTTATCCCCGTATTATTTTTACGTTATATGGAAAACGCTCGGCCGGCACGGTCAGCCCCGACGCGCATTTATTTTATACCTTGTTCAATATGTATCGCAGATAAAAGTGCATCATTGGAGATAGCGGGCACAAGGGAAAGAGAGAGAGTGAGAGAGAGAGAGAGAAAGAGACAGAGAGAGAGAGGAAAAGAGGGAAAGAGAGACGGACAAAGCGAAACGTGATAG